TGTTGATGTTGATGTTAACGTTAATGTTAATTGATATTGATTTTGATGTTAATGTTAATGTTAATTGATGCTGATATTAATGTTAATGTTAATGTTAATTGATGCTGATGTATGTTAATGTTTTGTCGTTGGAAGTTGGATGCTGATGTTGATGTTAATGTGGTTATGGATGCTGACGTTAATATTTGTAGTAGTAGTTGTAGTAGTAGTTCTATTAAAAAATAACATTCTAGTAGTAATCTTAATAGGAGTAATGATACTAAAATAGAAGAAGTAGTAACACCAGTAACAGTAACAATCAATTAGTAATAGAAGCAATTGTAGTCGTAGTTGTAATGGTGCTGCTAGTAATAGTAGTGGTGGTGGCAATGGTAATGGTAATGGTAATGGCAGTATCAGTAATAACACAGCAGCAGTTGATTCAAAATGCATAGTAATGTTAATAAGAGTGCTAGCACTGATAACAACACGTGTGGTAGAAGCCATAGAACTGTAATTAACAGTGATGATGATAATGATGTTGGTGATGATGATGGTGATGATAATGGTGATGGCGATGATGATAATGATAATGATAGTGTCGGTGATGATGATGGTGGTGGCGATTATAATGATGGTGATAATGATGGCATGGTGACGATGTCGATAATGATGATGGTGATGATGATAATGACGATGATGACTATAATGATAATGATGCTGGTGATGGCGATGATGATGATGACGATGAAGACCATGATGATGAATGATAATGATAATAATAACATCGATAACAACACAACAGCGACAATACTCCTCACACAAAAGCCTCTCGTGCTCAGTACTCTGAAACACCTCCAAACCGGAAATGACGTCATCAGTATTTGGTATTTCCAATTGGTTAACGCAGAATAGACTTCATAATATTATTTTTCCTTCTCATCTTTGGTTTTGGATAATCGTGAACAATAACAAAAAGAACATAAACAATAATTTGAAATAACGAGTATCTTATTCACCCATCTTTCTTTCTTTCTTTTTCTCTCTTTCTCTCTTTCTCTCTTTCTCTCTTTCTCTCTCTCTCTCTTCTTTTTGTCTCCCTCCCCCCCTCTCTCCCCTCTCTCCCTCTCCCTCTCCCTCTCCCTCTCCCTCTCCCTCTCCTCTCTCCTCCTCTCTCTCCTCTCTCCCTCTCTCCCTCTCTCCCTCTTTCCCCTCTCCCTCTCCCTCTCTCTCTCTCTCTCTCTCTTTCTCCCTATTTCTCTCTATTTTACTATTATCTTAGCAACAACAAGAAGGATAAGAACAGAAGCAACATCGATAAATTATTTATGACGATGATACTAATAGCAGTCACTAATTAATATTCGTATTCGTATTCTTAATAATAATATCCACACCATTACCAATTTTATTATTATTGTTATTATTGTGTTATTATCATTACTGTTATTATTATGTGTTATTGTTATTGTTGTTGGTATCGTTAGTTACTGTTATTTATTAGTTATTGTTATTATAATATTAGTAATAATTAAAATCATCATCATCACGAGTATAGCCATTATTCTCATCAGTTTTATTGCGTCTCTATTAATATATCCATCTGCCATGTAGGTAGAAATGAAACAATGTTTACGTTAAAATCAATAACGGGCGATATTTTCAAGAAAAAAAAGTTAAACCAGTCGAATAACAAAAAGAAAATGAAGAAAACAACGAGAAGATAACTGAACAAGGCCCAGGGTAAAGGAATAAAGAAGTATAAACCACTAAGACGAAGAAAGACAGAAAAGTAAGGTGAGAGACAATTACAATCAGCTGGAGAATTGAATTTCCCGCCACGCCCCTTTTTCCAGGACCTGATCGGAGCCGTCCAGCGAGGCGACGCAGCGGGCGTGTTGGCGGCCCTCGAGAGCGGGGGCGACGTGAACGCCGTCGTCGTTTGCGAAGATGAGGTGGAGAGAACGGTCCTCGCCCTGGCTGCGTTCTTGGGCCACGCCCACCTCGTGCCCGTCCTGGTGGAGAAGGGCGCGAAGGTGGACCAGAGAGCCGGCAGAACCATGACGGCGATCCACCACGCCGCGAGGGAGGGGAAGGCCGAGGCGCTGAAGGCTCTGTTGAAGGCCGGCGCGGACCTCAACGCGCCCGAAATCCGCTACTGTGAGCAAATATTTTTTATGTTGGTCTACTCTCGGCATGAATGCTGAGTGTCTTTAATTACGGTCATACTGAGGCATCTCTTGTCTGTTAAAGTGTCATAAGAGAGTTGTAAAAATAAATAAATAAATGATGAGGACGACCTTTAAATACTTTCTCACTTTGTTGCAGTTAACAGCCCACTCCACTTCGCTACAATGACTAGTAACTTCAACTGCGTGAAGGTACTGGTCGAGGCTGGCGCTGACTTGAACTGCAAGGACATCTACCACTACCGCCCCCTGCACATCGCATCGAGGACCAACTACCTGCCCATCATCAAGTACCTGCTCGAGTCTCGGTGTGACCGCGGGGCGAGGACGGTGCAAGGCTGGACGGCGCTCCATGTGGGCGGGATGAGCGGCAGCGAGGAGGCGGTCAAACTCCTGATAGAATCCGGCCTCGACTTGGAGGCGCTGGACAACGACGGGCGCACTGCAGCCGTGCTCACCGACGAGTGTGGGCAGGGCCACTTGTACTGGTACTTCGCGAAGACCTTTGGGGCGTCCACATCCTTGTCTCCGGCAGTTAAGGTGAGATGGCTGTGGAAAAAATGAATATATTCAGTAATGTGACAGATTTTACATTTCTCAATAATGTGCCACAACAGAAACGCACGAAGCCTCAAACTCTGTCCTCTGTGATTTGCTGTGCCTCTGCCCTGCATGAATAGGAGTGGCTACTAGAATATAGTGGCCATACGGTAATATAGATATATTCTTTCTCTGATTTTTGTAATGAGCAGTGCTTATCCATCTGTCTATCTCCTGCATACGCTTTCTAGGCCCGCCAGAGCATGGAGAGGTATGACATTGAGCAGTTGGTGCTAACGTGGGCGTCCCAAGACATCGAGGCCAACAAGCATCTCCTTCGCATGAACACTCCGTCACCCTTCGACGGGCACTACCAGGACCACTCCGGGCGCACAGCTCTCCACGTGGCGGCAGAGAACGGCCACAGGGGCAACGTGGTCGTCTTACTGGAAGATTGCAAGATCTACCCAGCAGTGCGCACCTATGCGGGGCAGACGCCGGCTGAACTGGCGAGAGCCGCCGGACACGAGGATCTGGCGAAGATGATAACGGCGAAGTTGGAGCGTGTGGAAGTAGGTTACGTTGGATTTCTGGTTGTCAAGTTTGATGAGTAAAGTGTGCTTAAGATGAAAAATATTCACGTTTGAGACTTATTATTATTATTATTATTATTATTAGAGAGGGGGTCTTCGCAGCGTGTGTGAGGGGGGGGGGGGTAAAATAGACAACTTTGGCTGTAATGAATGTTTATTTTAAACGTTTCGAAGACAATGTCGGTATCTAAATGAGCTCGTGTTCATCTTATGGATGAAGAGCGGTTCTAAGCTGAGGAGGTCGAGTCGAGTATGATAACGATGTTACCATACCTTAGACACACCTTAGACACAAGTACTAAAATCCACAGAGTTGTGCGAGATGCAAATCCACTGGTTCCCCCAAACTAAGCTCAGTCTTGACCTCATAAATGATGGATAATATCAGCTCTTCTTTAGGTAAACGAAAACGTCTCTACCTTCGGAACCTTGAATCTTGTAAATGTACTCATTTTGCCTAAATGTATCGCTAGGTATATTGGGTTACCTTCTCGTCATCTCACAGTACTCGAGCGTATGGACGTACATGTACTCTCCTACCTCAAAAAAGACCGCCAACCTCTGCCATCTACCAGCATGGACACGCAGCTAACCGCCCTTTCACTCACAGTTTCAGAAAGTTATCCAATAGACTCGATCTTCTCATTAGAATCTCTGTACGCCCATAAGATCAAATCCGAGCTTAGCAACCATATGTATTATAAATACACGTTAATGTATATATATATTTGTATTGCATGCTCTTGAAGTTGCACAGAATTCCAGGCATAGCCTATGTATCTAGAAACTTGATATTTGTAGATTTTTTTTCTTTTTTTTTTACATAAACAATACTATTATTTAACTAAATGAAGAAATGTGTGAAATTGGAAATGCTAATAGTATTGGTATTATTTTTCAAGTATAATCCTGAGAGTTCTCGATTACTGGGACTAACTGGACCCGACAATGGTGGCCAAGCTTAGGCACTCATGGAAAAAAAAAACTTTCAGGGCAGAGAGGAAGCAGAGGACCTGTACAAGACCTTGCTGACTGTCATCGCAGACGGGGATGATGTGAAGACGGCATCCTCTCTGCTCGCTCGCGGATGTCCCATGAAACCTTGCGGTCTCTACTCCACGCACGCCATCGTCCTGGCTGCCACCATCAACCGCTGCAGGATCCTCACTCTCCTGGTGGCCGCGGGGGCGTCGCTCTTCGCCACCGTTCAGGGCCTGACCCTGCTGCAGATCGTCTGGTTCACGGCAGACGTCACCATGTTCGTGAAGATGATAGTAACCAAGGTAGTTTGTGATATATTGAGAGGGCGTTGAGATGTGGGATGAGGCTGTGATCTTTGCTTGCCAGAAAAATGGTTAGAGATTTTAATGCCGATTTTCAATCGCCATAACTTCAAAGAAACTAGTATTATCATTATCAATAATGTTTTTGTTACTGTGTTATTATCATTGTTTTTTTCTTTATTTCAATTTACAGTCGATACTTCACATGCTGCAGGAGGAACACAAAAGGGCGGAAAACTGGCCCGAATTACAGAAAGGAATCTCGTCCATCCTGGACACACTGCAGGGAGAGCAACCTTGGATGGCATGTTGGCCTGTGCACAACCCTTCAGGAACCCAGTCAATCCTGACTCGACGACTCACCGAAGCAATCTACGCGAAGTGTAACCTCACAGTGTCATTCCTCCTGAATGCGGGAGCGATGCCGCTGCTGGATGAGGAGTTCTATGGGATGAGTCCCTTTGAGGTTTCGCTCAATGAGAAGCTGTGGGGCATGGCGGCGAGGCTGGCGCGCATCTCAGGCGGCTTGTACGTCGCCGACTCGCAGGGCAAGTTCTACAGGGACTACCTGCCATGGAGTCAAAGAATGGAACTGGAATATGTAAGATATGATGTATTTAGATAAAAATAGATGAATACATATGCGTTTGCATTGTGTGATTGCGCTTTTATTAGTATAATACGATGATTTTGAACCTTTGATTGTATATCTCAATCTAGCACAGTCTCATTTCTTTTCAGGACATTTTTGAAAAAGAACTGAGGAAAATACTACACGAAGAAGAGAAAGCAAAGGATGAGGAGGTTCGACAGGAACTCGAACTTAGTAGACATCTTCAAAGAAAACTGTATGAAGCTTATCAGTCGGACAGTCTGTTGGATGGCAGTACACGAAGACTAGTGAACCACATTGGGTGTCAAGCACTCCTGGCAGCTGCAAGGTTTAATCTTGTGCAGTTGGCCTTCTTGCTGTTGACCAAGGGCGAGATGGATGTCAACGGCAGACTCGAGAGGATGACGGACTCCACTGCAGTCCAACAGGCCGCTGCATTTGGAAATCACAATTTGGTTTTCCTGATGCACAAGATGGGGGCAGATATCACTCTGAAGGACCGCTACCATCACACGGCGCTTCACCTGGCTCCCATGTTTGGCCATGCGATTACGGACGAACAACTAAGATCATTGGCCAATAGCGAGGAACCTACGTGTAAATCTGGCACAACACCTACGCAAGTGAGGAACAACTTCGAAGTGTATCTGAGGCAGTATGGGGTTGACACAAATGATGCTGAACAGTTTGTGAACTACGAGGATTTCAACAATGCAACCAAAGCCTTGGAGAAGCACTTGGGAAGACTTGATCTAGATGAGCTGAAGAAACAGAGCTGGATCAGGTGTGTAAACTATAAGGAAGGCGAGGCGAAGGAGGTTTGCGAGGCTGTGATGTCAGAAATGAAACTCTTGATGGAGAAGGTGGGCCAGCGGAACCCGGCGCTAAGGGGCAGTCTGATTCTGCTTGGCAGCGCAGCCGATGGCACCCGGCTCTGCGCGCCTGACGAGTTTGACTTCAACCTCGTCATTCAGCCACCTGTGGCCATAGACTTGCACATCAAACATCTGGGAAAAAACGAGGCCAGCCATAAGGGCCACAAGTCAGTTCTCAAGGTGAAACCGCGACACTCAAAGGCCAACTTGCTAAAAGAGTCAAATTTAAAGAAATGTTTTTATAATGCTGTTGTTAAGAGCCTGGAGGAACACACTTGCAAGGACCACAGGCTGAGTCTGACTCCTCCTGGAGTCACAAGGACTCAGGTTGGTATAACACTGTCCCTGGCGTGGCAAGGGGAGCAGTTCCCTCTTCTACTTATAGGGGTAGACTTCGTCCCTGTGTTGACTGTCCCTTGGCCGCAGACAGTTTCAGAGCCGCCTCTGACTCCCCCGGGTATCGACAATGTCTTCATCAGCAGTCTTGGAAGAGGGAAGTGGAGGTTTTCCTTTTCTGCCGTCGAAGTAGAAACCCTTAAGAGCCTAGATGACATGGAGAAACTTGTCTATCTCACGTGCAAGAATCTGCTGGCAAATTTGAAAGCCGAGCCTTGGATGCCAAAAAAAGTAAAGAACAGGTACACCTGGTGGGACTCACAGCTCTGGAAACTATCGATCCCGTCTGGATTCGCCATGAAGAGCTGCTTCCTGAGAATCGTCGAGAAAAAGAGAGAGAACGGCATTGTGTGGGTGGAAGAGAACCTCCACCATTACATGACGCAGATTTTCTTGCTTATGGTGGGCGAGTACATCGACCCAGTGACAATGAGAACTCTCCAGGTATCGAGAAAGATTTACCCATATTACGGCGGCGATTTCGAATCTCCAAAGCTAGGCGAAGGAGTCAAAGAAATCCTCTCCTTCATAGAGGAGCGTCAGCGATCCAGAAGCAGACTACCAGACAGTCAGGAGAACAGCCAAGTTCAATCACTGAAAGGCGAGGATGGTGTTAAAGAAATGATTTCCTTTTTGGGCGATGTACAAAACATTAAAAATCTTTGAAGAGGCCGTGTCTTCTCGTGAGTAAGAAGATAGTTGATAGTATGGATAGTTGTGAAATTTGGGCACATTGAACCATCGACAGCGGGAAAAGGAGTCAAGGATATCCGTTCCTGAAGAATCAAAATAGATCTGTTTAACCTTTTGAACACAATGCCATGGCGGCGACGATCAGAAAACGGTCATGAAAATCAAATATGGTTTCCAATTGTTTTCTAATAATTTTGTTATATATTTTTTAGCTTGATACATATTTTTTACATTAAATATTTACAAATGCCATTTAATTTTATTATCTCCTCTCGAAAGAAATCATATAATATTCGTGAATATGAATATGTTATTGTTACCAATAAAAGTGGATTTGTATTTGTAGTTTTAGTTATCACTCAGTAAATATGAACTACATGCCTCTCAACCTATCAATGTATTCCATCTAATCTGATTTATCTAATTCTATTTATTCCATCTATCCATCTATCACATTTGTGTGTGTGTGTGTGTGTGTGTGTGTGTGTGTGTGTGTGTGTGTGTGTGTGTGTGTGTGTGTGTGTTGTGTGTGTGTGTGTGTGTGTGGTGTGTGTGTGTGTGTGTGTGTGTGTGTGTGTGTGTGTGTGTGTGTGTGTGTGTGTGTGTGTGTGTGTGTGTGTGTGTGTGTGTGTGTGTGTTTGGAGGTAATGGCAGTACCTTGCATCATAGTTATCAATCTATATACATCATTGGTGATCTTGAACATTTTGCAACGAACACCTGCAATAGTTGAACCACGTGCCGACCTGCAAAAGCGCCGATAGACTAGGTACGCAGAGTCAAAGCCAGGGGAACCTTTTTGTCCATGAGGCCACCTTCCACTTCATCGTCCCTCATAGAGACCGCATTGATTTTTGTTTGTCATTTTATCCCGAGGCCGCTAAGGAATTTCATAGTTATGTAATAAAAAGAAAGATAGGGGGATAAAAATTGAAAATATATTTTAAATTATTTTACTTAAGTAGGAATAATTATAGACAAAAAATCAATTAATAGTTATGTAATAAAAGAATGATAGGGGAATAAAAATTGTAAATATGACATTTTAAAATATTTTACGTAAGTAGGAATAATTATAGACAAAAAATCAATGTCTTAAAAAGTATATATAATTTACATCAGAAGCTGCAAAAGGCCGCACTCGTTGACCCAGAAGACCGCAGGTTCCCCATCCCTGGTCACAGCCAACAGCTTAGGCAAGGTCTGTGCAAATGCCTTGGTTTTAGGGGATTAATCATAGCCGAGTCGTCAAGTCAATCGAAAAATAAAATAAATGATAAATAAATAATTATAAATAAATGATAAATAAATGATTGTATCTTCGAGTGTGCCGTCACTCATGTCGACTAGTTTTCAATGATAAATCAAATAAATACTCATCTATAATTACATGATCATTTATGCCCCCTGTGAGGTTTGAACTCACGACCCCTGGTTTACGAGACCAGTGCTCTACCACTGAGCTAAGGAGGCTGATATACAACCATAATATCATAATATTCTTGTTGAAACCACTACTAATATAACAATACTGATTCTTAGATTCTGTTATTTATTCCGATGGAACATTGAGGGGAAGACGATTAATTTTCGCTTTAAACCTTTTTAAAAGTCTAAATTGCAAAGGGAAAACCACCGAAATTCATATCAAGTGATGTATTATAATAACTAGATCATTGCAGCATAAGGGAAAATGTGACAGAGATGAAACACAAAACTTTGTTAGGATATTTTGACTACTTATTAATTACGTTCTGGGAAAGTGCGTCGTACATTGCCATGAAATATTAGAAACAACTGAAAACTGGCGCTGTGAATTTCGTATAAAAATCAGGTGTTTACCAAGAGAAACATTAAGGCGTAGCTACACATACTATTGGAAAATAATATCATCATATACCAAACCAGATAAAAATGAAGCTATTTTGATTATGATCATTGTAATTGAATCATCATAGTCATAAGAACTAAAGAAAAACCAGGCATGTGCTTCATATGCTGGACCTTGTTACCTTCCTTGGCGACACAAGCAGCCACGAGAATCCAAGGACAGTATTTTTAATGAACAGCATATTCCTGCGCTTGCTAAACAGCTGTGCCCCCTGTGAGGTTTGAACTCACGACCCCTGGTTTACGAGACCAGTGCTCTACCACTGAGCTAAGGAGGCTGAATATAACAGATGAAAATGAAACTACTGATCGTACAAATCCTAATAATGATAATTCATTATTAGTAACACTGATAATTGTTATTATCATTACTTTAATTACAATGATTAAAGTTGTTGTTATCATAATATTTGCTATTGTTAACAATGATAATTCTTATAATTTTCATTACTATAATTACCATCCCCATTATCATCATAATTATCATTGTCATTACCATCATTTTTCTCTTATTATCATCATTACCAGTAAACTAGTCAAGATAATGATTAATATTTCATTAGTATTGGTGTCACAATCAATACCAGTATCACTGCCATGTATAGATCATATATGACTAATGTAAAAATAAACCAAAAACACAGTTATAAGGGGATAAAGAGAAAGAGAAAAAAAGAGATATAGAGGAAAGAGACAAAAAAAATATTGTTTGCTGAAATGCGTGTGTCCGTGCGAGCCAACAACTGCTGACGAAGGACCTGCCTTCTCCCGACTTGCTTCCTCCTGCATTGGGGATACTGCTTGTTCGATGCCTTCTCTTCGCTTAGACGGAAGCACAAGCGGTGGCGCTAGGAGATACTTCGATTCAAATGCGAGAACGTAATTAGTGCGTGGATTCGTCTAGGGAAAGGAAGCAGGTGTGTCCAAAGGTGCAGGTGTGAAATCGTGGATTTTAATGGATTTGTTACTACATGTGGTATGACTCATGGCATTACCTGTAATTATCAGAAAAAGCATATGACATACAAATCACCTTCTATTTAATATACTGTGAAAGAAGGTGTCGTTCTCATATTTATAATTCCCATGATAATGCAGCATCACATACAGGTTACGTAACCATATATTTCATAAACAATTCTTTTTCCCTTTCCCTCTCACTTTGTCTTTCACACACGTCCGCCATGCATATATATTTTTACCATCATAATTATATATACCATACTTTTAAAGCGGCTAAGGCGCAGGCTGACTCCAGAATGCTGAGTCTAGAACTCCCGAGTCAAGATCAAGTCCAGAGTGACTCCCACTGACCTCTCGAGGAACTGGGTCCCTCCTGAGTCGCCACCCAGTCGCTAGCTTCGCCCGGCGTTTGACTCCTGAAACAGAAGCCGGGTTGAACCGTCGGAGGAACTCTTAAGAAAGGGGAGATGGGGGCACGTGACGAAGCCAAGGAGGTGAGGGATAGGACTCTAGGATCACTCGGTAGCCATTCTCTGAATTGACATATGGACGAGCACAGACGCCGCCGCCGCCACGGGAAAAGGGCTCCCGACCCTTTGATTTTTCACAATAATAATGTGGTGATCTGTTGTTGTTTTTTGGGGAGGCTTCATTCAGTGCTGATAAAAATAATGATTGTTTTCATTGTACTTCATTGCAAATGTTTTCATTTAACATTTTAGGCATTTATTTCTATTAAAATTTCTTCAGTCATTAACAGCCTTTCATAAATTATCTTTTCTACGTCAAATGCAACATTAACTTTGATCATTAATTCCTTTTCAAGTAATCACTCTTCATATCTCTGTAATCGTTCAGTATTAATTTGGTTCCAAAAAGAAAAATAAATCAGATTTATTATGCGTTATATATAGGAACGTCTGTGAGTTTCTCAGTCGGGCGAAGACAAACGTACAAATGAAACTTTCCATTTCTTTATTTCTGTTCTTACCACGGCCCTTTGTGCGTCCCTGTCCGGCCCGTGATGTTTGGTATATCACAGAAGAGAGTATAATCCTCGTAGCAACACAAGTAATCGTTCAGGCGTTCAGAAGCACACAAATATGGGGTTAGCTTTACACTGATTCCACTCAAATTAAGAGAAATGATAGAATGAGTCACTGGCATCAAGCCTTATTTCAATCACTGACTTTTCACTTTTAACACGAGCAACACAACGCTGTTCCTCACGGCACTCCACAGAACTCCTTGTATTTTGATCATAAAAGCCTCGTCCTTTCGATCTTTTCGTCCTAACGCCATGTTTCGAGAAGCGTCCCCGAACAAGTGAACATCAACATGCGCATACGTAGCAATATATGTATATGTAAATATGGATAAACGATTAATATAATGATATGTTTTTAACAGTTAGAGAACCTCTAGAGCCGGAATTCTTAACATGGGGTCCATGGATGGATTTCAGGGTGTCCGTCAAGATCGGATAATAAGTAACGTTATGCATAAAAAGAAATGTTTTATTTTATGTTATTTACTTGAAAGTTTAATAATACTTTGTGTATCTCATATTTGCACAAGACCATCAAATATCAATATATATGAACTACATCATAAATATTGCACGCAAATTGTTTATGTGAAAATTTGTAGAGGAGAGGGTCCGTCCAATTACGTATGAGAACTGTCTGGATATCATAGCTGTATTCAAAATACAATTTTGAATATTATTTACTTCACCGATTTTTGTTTTCCTTTCCTGCCAGGGAGGCGCCTCATTTTCATCCTCTGTAAGAAGTTTTGGCTGAGTTTATTCCTTCTGCAGTTTCCTGATTCTTAGCTACAAGCCGTTTGAGCAGCATCACTAGCACTGGAGTCGACGCTAGTTAAAGAGAACGCCTCACACCTACCCATGGGTCAAAGCGCCCAAGGTCTGCCCTGGGATAGGAAAGTGTTGCGGGTATAAAGTTGGATGCTGACTCCGCCTACTTCGCCTCGCATGACCTTCAAGATTATAACACTAAGATATGCAAAAAGTTCTATAAATTCAGGTTTTTACTGTAATCTATTTACGTTAGAAACCCAGCGGCGACAATACCGAGCGAAAAGAGAGGCCTCAGACACAGGTCTAGCTCTTGTCGCACACGACCTTTCATTCTACTGCATCAAAACAGTCTTTGCTCATGAAAGTCCCATATGCGAGTGTGATATGAACTGAGACACCATATATTTGTGAGGCAATGTTTGCAACTATTTAAATGTTTCTTTAAAAAAGGGGAATCGGTGTAATAATGCTTTATTTATCTATTTTCTGAATACAAAAGGACTTCTAAATATCTAACCTTCTTCTCTTGAAAAATGTAAGTATGGTTAGACCATTCTATTGAAAAAAGCAGAATTGACACGTTGCCCCTGGCTCCGATTTACAGACCATGTAAAAGAAAAGAAAAGAAAAATACGTTACAGAAACCAGAATGTCTGCCGGTGTC